GAGATCCCCAGCAGTTAAAGCTAATTTAAATAGGCTGACTAAAGAACTTACCTCTGAGATCAAGCGCTTTAAAAATAAACAATTCCATTCATACTTGTCTGATTTGACCAATGATCGCAGCACAGATTACTCCTTGTGGAAATGCACTCGAAATATAAAACGTCCAGCCTCTCATAACGCACCAATAAAGACCTTCACTAGCCAATGGGCCAATAGTGATAAAGAAAAAGCTGAACTTTTTTCTGAACATTTAACAAAACTATTCTCTATTTCTGGTAGTGAGAATAGTGTTGAAACTTGTTTTCTGGGTACTAATAGCATAAACAATTTGCCGCCAACTAGCGAGCTTGAAGTAATGATGATAATAAAGAACGAACTTAAGCTAAAAAAAACACCAGGATATGATCTCATAACTGCAGAAATTCTTAGAGAAATCCCAGCTAACTGCATAGTTAAAGTTACTAACATCTTCAATGCTGTTCTACGATTGAAATATCTCCCTGTGCTGTGGAAGGTCTCAGAAATTATTATGGTCCTTAAACCGGGGAAAGATGCAAACGAGGTTAGCTCTATAGGCCAACAGCTCTCCTACCTGTGCTTTCAAAAGTATTTAAAAAAATTATGCTCAAACGGATGTTGCCTTTACTTGAACAACAGCAGACCATACCTATGCATCAATTTGGATTCAGGTGTAATCACTCGACCATTGATCAAGTCCACAGAATCACAAACGTAATCGAAACTGCCCTTGAGGAAAAGAAAGTATGTTCAGCAGTATTCTTAGACGTATTCCAGGCTTTCGACAAAGTTTGGCATACAGGTCTACTAACAAAAATAAGAGACATTTTTCCGTTGGAGTATTTCGATATGGTTTCTTCTCATTTGACCAATCGTTACTTCCGTGTTAAGCATGGAAACGATTACAGTGAACTCCAAAAAATCAACGCTGGGGTACCCCAAGGCAGTGTACTTGGTCCTTTGTTATATTTAATATACACACATGATTTGCCAACGAGCTCAGCGACGTTTACAGCGACGTTCGCTGACGATACAGCTGTTCAAGCAATTGTAGATGATGAACTAACAGCAGCCAGGCGTCTGCAGTTTTCTGTCAATGACATTATCGCTTGGGCTGAAAAGTGGAAAATAAAACTTAACCACTATAAATCAGTTCACGTCAACTTTACAAACCGAAATATCAGATTTATGCCCCTCTACATTGATGGAATACAAATTCCACATTCTAATACGGCTAAGTACCTCGGTATGACATTGGATGCAAAGCTGAGATGGAATGAACATGTAAAAAAAAGAGAGATGAGCTGAATATAAAATACAGATCAATCAAATGGCTTATTGGAAAGAAGTCGAAACTGTCACTTCATAACAAGCTTTTAATTTACAAACAAATATTGAAACCAATTTGGACATATGGTATTCAGCTCTGGGGATGCGCTAGCAGCACACATGTTGAAACCATACAAAAATTCCAAAACGTTATATTAAGGGGTGTGGCAAATGCACCATGGTACGTAAGGAACTCTGATCTGCATCGTGATCTAGGGATAAATACGGTGGTGGAAGAAATACAGCGAAATGCAAGAATGCACCTGCATCGACTGTACTCTCATCCGAATGATGAAGCTAACGAACTGGCGTCAATAGAGCCAACACGTCGCCTTAAGCGGCGAAAACCTTGTGATCTTTGGTCGCAACCTGTCCGAAATGCGTGATAAGTGAACTTGCGTGATTTCTGATTAAATTCTTTATAATTGTTGATTAAAATTCTTTGTTAGTGTTGGCAACTCTGCCAAGATGACAGTTGACAGATAAAGTAGAATTAACATTTTAATTCTGTCAGTTATTTTGAACTTGTGAAATAATAATAACTTGGAGTTTTTTTGAATAAATAAATATCTAAATTATACAGATATAACAGTGGCGACGAGGATATATATTTTTTTTTGCATTACATGAAAAATATATGTACACAAAAAAAAATGAATCCACAAGAATTCAAGTTATTTTTCCAAGAAATGCAAAACCAACGTGCGAAAGACACGGAAGCAATGCGTGAACTTTTCAAGGAGTGTTTGCAAATGAAAGCAGTTCCGAACACAGAAAAACCGGAGCAAACAATGGAGATTTTAGCATCGAGTCTCACGGAATTTGTTTATGATCCAGAAAATAACTTAACATTTGAAACGTGGTATACGAGGTATGAAGATTTATTCTTAGTAGATGGTAGCAAACTTGATGACGCAGCGAAGGTCAGGCTTCTATTAAGAAAACTCAGTACAACTGTGCATAATAAATATATGGACTTTATTTTGCCTAAGCATCCACGTGAATATAATTTCACTACAACAGTGGAGAAATTAAAACAACTGTTTGGACTCCAAAAGTCACAATTCAGCTTACGCTATAGCTGCTTACAGTTAACCAAACCACCAGATACCGACTATACTACGTACGCAGCCGAGGTTAATAAACAATGTGAAAATTTTAAATTGAATAGCCTGTCACTGGACCAGTTCAAATGTTTAATGTTCGTATTGGGGCTGAAATCGGAAGCAGACTTCGAAATAAGAACCCGAATATTGACCAAACTGGACACAGAAGCTGATACCATCAACTTGGAAAAACTTACAAACGAGTGTCAGCGTATTATTAATTTAAAATCCGACACAGCGCTGGTAGAAAATAAATCACGCGAAAATCAGGTGAATCGAGTACAAGCAAATAAGCTTAAGAACAATCACAAACCGAAAACACCATGCTGGTTTTGTGGAGCAATGCATTATGTGCGTGACTGCCCATACAAAAATTATAAATGCGAAGACTGTCACAACATAGGCCATAAAAAAGGTTATTGCAAAGCGAAAAATTCATCAAAATCAAAATGCAATAACAACAACAAAAATAATAGCAATGGTAAAGCAAAAACATTTTCACAGCTACGATCCAACAGTATATACACAACGAACAGCATCACAGCTTCACAGCGTAAATATGTCCACGTTAAAATCAACAATGTGCGAATCAAATTGCAATTTGATACTGCATCGGACATAACTATCATTTCAAAATTTAATTTCGACAAATTAAATATTTTAAATACAATGGAAGTACAACCAGAATCTGCTAAAAGTGCAACTGGAAACTTACCATTGTACGCAAAATTTACATGTGATGTGCAGTTAAAAGACACAATTAGAACACTTACGTGCTTCGTTACAACGATCGATTTGAACGTATTCGGATTGGACTGGATAACTGCTTTTCAACTTAGCGATATGACGCTTAATGCTATTTGTAGCCAAATTTCAACAACAAAACAGGCAAGTAATGTTTCAATAAAGTCGTCAAATTGCAAATTTCTTCCGGAAAAATTATTTCCAGAACTTTTCGATAATGCTATGGGTCTTTGTAATAAAACTAAGGCACATTTAATTATTAAACCAAACTGTCAACCTGTTTTTCGACCTAAGCGCCCGGTAGCATACGCAGTTCAACATTTGGTTGAAGAAGAAATCAAGCGACTTCAAGATCTCGACATTATCGCACCCATAAATTACTCTGACTGGGCCGCACCAATCGTAGTTATCAAAAAGCCAAATGGTAGCATTCGTATTTGCGCTGATTTCTCAACTGGTCTTAACGACGCGCTTGAATCTTACAAGTATCCACTACCGCTTCCAGAGGATATTTTTGCAAAAATTAGCAATGCAACAGTATTTAGTCATATAGACCTTTCGGACGCTTTTCTCCAAATCGAAGTTGATAGCAAATCGCAAGAACTTCTCACAATAAACACGCATCTAGGTTTATTCAAATACAAGCGTATGGTTTTTGGCGTTAAAACTTTTCCGGCAATTTTCCAACAAATTATGGATAAAATGCTTGCGGGCTTAGATTGCGCAGCTGCTTACATCGACGATATCTTTGTCTCAGGTAGAAACCAACAAGAGCATGACAACAACTTACATGAAGTTCTACAACGTATTTATCAATACGGGTTTAAACTCAAGATCGCAAAATGCAATTTTTCAGTTCCTGAAATTGCTTACTTGGGATATATTGTCAGTAAAGACGGCATTCGCCCAGATCCAAAAAACATTGAAGCAATCAAGACAATGCCTGCGCCAACCAATCAATCCGAACTTAGATCACTTTTAGGTGCTATCAATTTTTATGGAAAATTCATAAATCACATGCGCAAATACCGAGGACCATTAGACGAACTACTTCAAAACAACAAGCAGTGGCAATGGACGGAACTTCATCAACGCTGTTTAGATGGTTTCAAGCAAATTTTGTCATCAGAGTTATTATTAGCGCATTACGATCCACTAAAAAACATAGTAGTCGCTGCAGATGCATCTAACTATGGGCTCGGAGCTTGCATTTTTCATGAAGCTGACGACGGTTCAATGAAAGTAATATGTCATGCATCCAGATCACTAACGCCCACAGAAAAACAATATAGCCAAATAGAAAAAGAAGCTCTTGCGCTTATTTTCGCGGTTACGAAATTTCACAGAATGGTTTTTGGGAGAAGATTCAAACTTCAAACAGATCATAAGCCTCTTCTAGCTATATTTGGTGATAAAACTGGAATTAAGGTGCATCAAGCAAATAGACTTCAACGTTGGGCAATTAAACTGATTGCATACGACTTCGAATTAAAGTTTATTTCAACTAACAGTTTTGGGTATGCAGACGTTTTATCACGACTCATACATAACACAATCAATCCTTCAGAAGACTATGTCATCGCTGCAGTAGAGTTTGAAATTGAAAGTAAACAAATTTTACATAACTCACTTGATAAGCTGCCGCTTACCAGCAAAATGATTACTTACGAAACAGCTAAGGACAAGGTTTTAGCTAAAATTCTCGAATATGTAACTGAAGGATGGCCATAAAACTGCAACAACAGTGAGTTAAAAGCTTACTTTAACCGAAAAAACGACATATGTATAGTTGACGGATGTTTAATGTTCGGACAACGCATTATTATACCTCAAATTTTCCGAAAGCGCATTCTTAAAGAAATTCACCGAGGTCATCAAGGCATAGGTCGTACTAAAGCCATCGCGCGGAACTACGTTTATTGGTCAAATATCGATTACGATATTGAAGCAATGGTGAAAAGTTGTTCAAATTGTGCCGCAGCAGCTAAAATGCCCACAAAAACAACTTTACATCCTTGGCCAAAACCTTCTGATTCTTGGGAACGGCTCCATATTGATTATGCAGGACCAATAGATTCATACTACTATTTGGTCGTAATCGATGCGTTCTCAAAATGGCCAGAAATTATACAAACAAAATCTATAACAGCAACTCAAACAATTTCCAGCTTGAAAGAAATTTTCGCTAGATTTGGGTTACCGAAGACAATAGTTTCAGACAATGGTACTCAATTTGTGAGTCACCAATTTCAACAGTTTTTAGCGGAAAACGGCATTAGTCATATACGAAGCAGTCCGTACTATCCCATGTCAAATGGACAAGCCGAAAGGTTTGTGGATACTTTAAAGCGAGCACTCAAAAAGTTAAATGGGAAGGGGGTAACTGCTGAAAATCTTCAAACATTTCTACAAGTTTACCGATCAACTCCGAATAAGCAAAATGAGGACAGTAAATCGCCAGCTGAAGTTTTACTAAAAAGAAATATCCGTATTAAACTTGACTTAATTAAACCAACGCTGGTGTCTTTACCAGACCCAAATGCCAAGTTTAAAAACAAGTGCGGTGACCGAAAAGATCAAGAAAATGAGTTATCTTTAGAAATATGTACTTCCGAAGATATCGCCAACGAAAAGTGTTTAGTTGATGCATTTGGCCTCTACGAAACAACACCTAAAGATGTGGTCGAAATAACTAACAACAACATGGTTTCGACTCCAGATCAATCTTTCAACAAAGTAACCGAGATTGCAATCCCTCAAACTGAGAAGCACAATGAGGCAGTTGTTCCGTATACCCGACCAAGGCGTACTAGACATCCTATTGACCGTTATAGACCCTAGAATCACCGCATTGGAGATTTAATCTCAAAAGGGGAGGTGTTGGCAACTCTGCCAAGATGACAGTTGACAGATAAAGTAACATTTACATTTTAACATTTTTAATTCTGTCAGTTATTTTGGAACTTGTGAAATAATAATAACTTGGAGTTTTTTGAATAAATAAATATCTAATTATACAGATATAACACTTTGTTTATT